TCCATTCCCATTCCCATTCCCATTCCCCTCCCTCCCTCCCTCCCTCCCTCCCATCCATCCATCCATCCATCCATCCATCCATCCATCCATCCATCCATCTATCTCCTTCTAGCCTCCCTCTTAGGCTACCCATTTTGAGGGAGGGGACCTGGCTTTCACACAACATCTCACCCCACCCCAACCATGTTCAAACAAAAGCAAAATAGAAATTGCTGTGCTTTATCCTCCATAGAGTCAAAAACTGCCATCTCATTTTGACTGCACTTTACAGAACACATTTATTGAAAACTGGAGAAACAACGCAGGTTGCATGCCATGAAATATACATCCTTTAAGTTCAAATACCAGTTTCCTACTGTTGGGGGGACTTCGTAGTTGGACATTTTACAGAAAGTACATTCAGAACTAAGTCTCTGGCCCATCCATTTTGATGTACAGATTTAAATGACATGTTTGTCCCCAGAAAACAAGATGGACTGACCATCAAGATTGACTTTTTTTTCCTCCTAATCTCAGAGAACTGAAAGTAAAAGCAAGTGATGATTGTTTTAATTTTCCACTTAGCTTCACTTTGGATGTAGCTATTTTACAGCTTCTCCTTCTCCTTCCAAGTAGCACAGACAGAAATTGTCCTTGCTCAGAAGAATCAGGAAGTCCCCACTGGGGTGCCAGGAAAGCCAAGTCACCTTGAAGTCACCTAAACAGACCAAATTGGGAAAAAAAAAATACTGTTAATCCCTTTTTCCCCCTTTTACAATATTTTCAACCGTTTCAGCTATTTCAGCTACACCCTTTGAAACAGGGGAAAAAAAGGTAACTGGTGGCCAAGTTGCTTTATCGGAATGCCCAAACCACGCTGGGGTTTCTCTGAACGCCTGGGCTCCCTAAATATGTCTGTTCTTCAATTTAAATTTAATTTTAATTAAATAAATGCCAGGGTTATCGCCTACGAGCTGATCTCCCATTCTGAGATTCGCTTTCCTGTCTCGAGGCAGGCTCAGGACCGCTCTAAGCCCTACGCAATGCGTTTGATCAGCATTTTGTCTCAGCAATCCGTGACTGGCAACTCGGGACTGCCGCAAAACCAATCCAGATGCTGGAACAGTTGAAATGAGCACAGATCTATCCAGAGGCAAAATTTCCCGCTTTTTAAGCGAGCCCAAAACAGCACGAGCTGCTTACCCCAAAGTGTCAAATTTCTAGCTTTTTCTTACCTTCTATCGGTACCTGCACTGATGTACATCCAGCTGAAGACCAGAGATACACTTTATTATTCCCAGTACACAGAGCAAGCCGAGATTGATGGGGATCCCACTGGAACAGCTGAACTGGACCTAAATGCTCCAGGACCACGCAGAGTTTCATCTTCTGAACATCCCAGATCCAGACAGCATTTGGGAGGTTGTCTGTTAGAAACACACCAAACATTTAAGAAATGGGGCCTGACCTACAGCCAAACAAATTTATAGCATTCATAACCAGTATGGTGAAATGGGTAAGGTGCTGAGCTGGGACTAAGGGAATCCTTGTTCATATTCTCACACACGGTGATTTGGGGCATTAGTCACTTATCTTAAAGAAGCTGACTACTGTAGCAAATTTAGAACAGTTGCAGGGTCTTCTGGTCGCAATGTAAGTTTAACATGCTACTATCAAGCACAGCACTTGACCACAAAGAAGGGAACCTAAAACAAGGCTTATATACACCTCACAACGTGGGGTGTATATAACATGCATCGTAAGTGGGAAATGAGCCCATTCTGAGTGCTATCTACTACTCAACCTTCAGAAATATTAGCCAAGGGTATGATTTTAATTTTCATTTATTTAAAACTGTCTTAGCAAACGGTGGAAAGAAAGGCTAAATTCTGAAGTCACATGTCCAAGAAGTTCACTTCATTGGTAGGACATGAATGCAAAGTCAGTTCTCAGCTTGCCTCCAAAATACTGACCATTTCTGGTTGCTAAGAAACTATTATCAGAACTGAAGGCTAACATTCCAACGCCAATTCTAGGATTCGCCCGATCTGCTGGAGGTTTGACGTGGTGCAAAGAAATGGGGGCTTGGACAACGTCATCTGAAATTGAAGCAGACAACAAGATTTACTCCTTATCCTCCTAGTTTTAACCTTTTTCCATGGACAAACTAGGGAGCCCGTTTGGCACAGTGGTTAAGTTCTGAACTAGAAACCAGGAGATTGTGAGTTCTAGTCCTCCCTTAAGCAAGACAATGAGCTGGGTGACTTTGGGCCAGTCCCTCTTCTCATCCCAGCCCACCTCACAGGGTTGTTGTTATGGGGAAAATAGAAGGAGGGAACATTAGCTACGTATGCAGCTTTGAGTTGACCAGAGCTAAAGGCCGATAGATAAAAATCTAATAAAAAAATAAATAGTCCAACCCTTTCCAACTTCTTCAGTTCACATTTCCCTAACGCAGTGTTTTTCAAACTTGGCGACTTTAAGATGTGTGGACCTCAACTCCCA